TTTAAAGCGTAGTTGTATAGATCATTTCTACTTTAAGCAATATTTTAAATTTTTTTAATGATTGCTTACTATTGTCACGTGAATGCGTATGTCTGAGCTCCGGACTTAACAACGACCGTTGCCGTTTCCCTAGTAATATAGCTACGGGAGATAGTCATAGTTTTATTTTCATTGTTTTTTACTCTTATTTGTAATCTTTATAACAGTACCACATCGTTAAAAAAAAAAAAAAAAAAAATTTTATAGAATCAAATATATTTATCATCTGTTAAATGTGGCCATTTATTTAATGTTCAGAGAATCTTAGATGTAACAAAAATTACAGTTTTCGGTTTATTTTTTTATTTTAATTTATGGGTAAATAGTATATTGATACCATGAGAGATTAATGCAATCATTATTAAATATCGAAGAATTAGTTCTTGCATTTATATATGAAATTAAAGAAAAAATACAATCGTTCCTAATCTTATATATCAATGGCCATTTAAATTTAATATGAGCTCTAAAGATCTCTTACCCAGTTAAAATCTAAAATCATATCAACACAATATTTTAATTTAAAATGATAAGGCGCTCTTTAAAAATTTCAGACCCTTCTAAAATTTTTTAATTTTAAGAAAAAATATAATCAATTAAAATATTTAATTTGATAAAGAATTTTTAAATAGAAAATCATTTTTTACGAATTGTGTAACAATATTTCAGAGTAATTTTTTTTTTTAAATGGCATATTCTTACAAAATATTTTGCTATGGCTTAATAATTTCATGACAAAAAGTTTTTAATTGAATCGACACAATAAGTACAATTCATCATTTGTAACATTTTTTTGTTTGATAGCGGAAGAATTTGCATAAAAATTTATATACATAAACTCAGATTTAAAAGCCAAACACACATAATAAAATAAAACATGAATATATACATTAAAACACATATAAAATTCTATGTTTATTTTACATAATAAAAATTTTGATAAATACAACGATCTTTAAGGTATGAAAAATAAAAAATAAAAAATGGTATAGCTCATATTAATAAAGCATAGGTTAGAACATTCATTTTGATGTCTGTAATTATCTGGAGAATATTTATGATGTCTATAGTAGCTTATAAAATCGCATTCAATTTATTTTTTAGCCTCTTCCGGGATTTTTCAAACTTGTAATGAATGTTGCTTGTTTAACGCCTCGCCTGAGAAGAAGGCCAATGATAAATAAGCCGCAGATAGCCACGGGCATAAACCTAGTTATACGACACACCCATCCAACACTGTCATTTAACCGAAATTTAATCCACTCTTTGGCTTTCCCAAGGATAATTTTTTCTTTCTCTTCTCCCACAATTTTCTTCAAAGCATTTACAGCTTTTTCATGACACATCTTACACTCATCCTTAAAATTTTCAAACATGGCAACTTCCAGATAAGCTATAGCAATGCTAGTAGTTAATATTTGTTCAATTTCTTTAACCTCCCCGATTTCCTTTTCAATTTCTCGCTTTAATTTAGCGAAATCATTTAATTTCTTTTTAATAAAAAAATCATAAAATGATTTAGTTGGTAAGAATAAACCATCAAATGATTGCAATCCCAAAAATTCAAATAAGTCTTCGATTTTCGATTCTTTATAAATATATAAATAAGTTATGATTAAGCATATTAATTTTTTTTTCTTTTAAATTTTTATTTTTATTTCGTACCTGAATTTACGGATGAGTGAGTAATTTCTCTTTTTTGTGAAATTATTTGAGCTCTAGATAAAACTTTATTGTCAATTGCGATAAATCTATAAAACGAAAATATTAATTATTACAAGCAATAAAAGAAAGTTACTCGTGTTTTACCAAAAATATAAATAATTATTACCCAGTATGCTTTGAAACTAAGTTAAAAGTCCTAACAAGATTAACAATATATTCTTTAGTTAATGAATTTATAATATGTTTACCAACATTTTTAGGATGCCTATGAAGAAATGACTCTCCATTCTCGAGATCTTGAATAAGTTTCCTTGCCGCTAATTTATGAATCTTCGAACCTTGTAAAGTAGCAGGATCCAAAGAAATATCAAGTTTCATAGAGCCATTTAAAGTGATAACTTTACATGGTTCTATGCTTTTTTCCAACATGCAATAAACAACAAATCGTTCACCATTACGAAGTGGCGGAATGAAATATGGAGCCTGTTGAATCTTAATATCAGTAAAGATATTACTCAATTGTGGTGGCGGTGATTCTACTTCGGATCCTTCTTTTTCTGTTGATTCCGAGGCATCTGCGTCAGTCCAAGTAATTTTGATCGGTGATTTTACCGCGTTTTTCAACATTTCGATAGCCTTTTTATCCATTCTTTCATTATTCGTTACGAATTGAGCATATCCTTTACCAGCGCGAGCAATAGATTCAATTAAATTATGTGGAACGGAATGAACAATTCCTAATGCAAAAAGACGTAAATCATCATTCATCTTTTCTTCATTTTCACTTGTATATTGATCAATTTTCCGAACTTCATCGTCTGTAATAAGAAATACAGAAGTTGGCATATCATTCCTTGAATTTTCAAATGCCCAATTTAATACCCTGAAAATTTCTGTTCCACCGTAATTTGAGGTCATCGTTTGAGCAAGATTAAGTGCTTTAGACAGATTCGTTTCGGAATAGAGTTGACTTTTTGGAAAAAGAGAGTCATAACGAGATCCAAACGATATTATGTTAAAGTAACAATCTTCAGGAAGAGAACGTAATAATAATTCAAGTGCTTGCGCAGCTCTCTTCATAGGTCCGTCACTCATTGATCCTGATCTATTTTGGAAAAATAATTTTTTCGTTAACCGACCAGAAAGCAATTTTTCTTTAAACTCATAACTGTATACAATACCTATCGATAACGAATATTAACTCTGTTGTATTTAACGTGGATTTCGGAACCAAAGTTAACATAACACAGTTTGTTTCTGTTTCAGGATTGTATTCAACGAAAGCTCTAAAGAAAAAACTAATTATATTAGAATGATTTTAAATTAAACTAATCTGAATCGTTGTCAAAATATTTACCTTGATTGGTCAAGATCTTCACTCTTAAACACAAGAATGAAATCTTTTTCTAAATAAGTAATCTGTTCATCTAAAGTGATTTTGAAAATTTTAGGATTTCCATCAATACTCATTTCGGTAGAAATTTTATATGAAGGCGATTCAATATGTTGAATAATTGAAGCCATTTGACAAGTAATTTTCAGATCTAAATAATTAACGTCAGCATCGGTGTTAATAATTTTCTCATCATTGTAGCCATATCTCATCGCGATAAAGTTTGGAAGAACGAATCGAATTTTTTCAGATTCGGAATCTTGCTTAAGTTCTGCAACGTATGTAATTCTTATGACCACAGTTTGTCCAATTGAAATATGTCCAACAAAGCATTGAAATACTTCATTTGATCCGGATTCTATCAAATAAGCACCATGCCCTTGCTAATCAATTCAGATATCATGTTAAATTAATTTAATTTACATATGTAGGAAAAAATAATACAAAATCAGCTTTGAAAATACCCTGGCTTCTTCAGTGTATTGATCGACATTCTCATTTTCCTCTCTGACAAAACCCTTTACTTTACTTCGTCCATCAATTTCCGCTTCAAATCCGCAAACAGTTATAGCTTCATTAATAGGAAACTTATAAAAGGCTTCAATGGTATTCTTTTCAGCAATCTTATAAGTCTGGATTATAGCAACTGTTGGAAAGTTAAATCTTAAGATTATTCTTACGTAAGTTAATATTCACTAATTCACGTCGTACAAACCTTCAGCGATCATATCAACAACTAAAAAAAGGAATGATATGCAAATTTTTAGAATCCTTCTAATTAATCAACGATAATAAACTATGAATTATCGTAAGCTTACTGTTGGCCTCAATGACAACATTTTGTAAAGGGATCGGATTTACTTTTTGTTCAAGCATAAAACAAAGGCCGTGAATTTGCATTTTGAAAATAATCAATGATTTAAGTTCTTTTGATGGGATGGGAAAAAAAATCCAATTTATAAGAGTTTTGCTCCGATTGTAAAACCTTAAACGTGAATCAATGACGACTTGAGACAAAATTAGAAATTATAATCAATTAGATGGGAATAAAAATAATAATTCTAAATCCGAGTCGTGGGAATTCGACGTAAAAGAATTTTTAATATTTGGTGTTCCACAACACATTTGACAATCAATTTACTACATTTAGTACAAAGTCCATTCATTGAATTTTTTAAAAATTTAAGTTTCAATGAACTAATTCATTGTATTAATACGATAAGAATCACTTTTTATGAAAAAATTAAATTTTATCAATCAGTAATTGATAAGCTATTTCATTATCAATAAATTAAAATTTTTTAATGAACAATCAAATTTTGAGATTAGCGTTATTATAAAGAATTTACGTTAAAATTGAAAATTGGAATACAATCGACCCCGATATAGTCATCTTATAAGCAGATTTTTGTTATGCTGAAGTTAATAATAAACATTAAGAATTCTCTACCGATATTTTCTGATCCTGAGGGTGTGTCTATATAGAGGGCATAAATTTTTAGATGATATCATTGAAAAATGTCCCACGCAATTTGTCTTTTAGTCAATACGCGCCTTGGCAATATGTCTTATGACCATTGTGTTCTTGCTGAATTTTAGAAACTATAATGCCTGGAAGAAAAGGAGCAGGCTGATATATTTTAATTCAGATATACCTGTATTGTAACGATCACGAAAATTTTTATATTTTTATAATAAATGCATTCACCCAAAACATATAACCATCATCTCTTTTGTAACGTCCACGTCTACATCTTTAATTTTTCTTCGTCTGTTAATTTTTTAAGGTTAATATAATGTACCACACAAAACTTTTGATTGTAGTTTGGATGATGTTCGATCCTTTTTGATCAGCCGATTTAACCTTAATTAAACGTCTAATAATAAATTAGTAAAAAAGCACATGTAAATTGAAAATTTAAACAGTATATTTCCGGATTTATTTAATTAGAACTGGATTTATTGTATCTGAATAAGTTAGCATTAAATAAAGGTTAAAGATGATATGGAACCTTTGCAAAAGGCTGGAAAAAATAAAAAATGAGTTAATGCTAAATCTGAACATATTTTGATCTAAAAATCATATTTGGCATATAGAAGTAAAATTAAATTTCCCCCCTTTCTATTGCAAAGGTCCATCCATCATCGTTTTTGAGTCCAAATAATTTATTAGCGCAGGATAGCAGTTATAATCAAGTTATTTATAAATTTACTAAAGGAAATAACAATGTAACTTAACTAATGATTTTTTTATTATCATATCGTTACCGAAAGTTAATTATATCATATATCGGATATAATAAAACCGGTTTTTGTATTAGACAAATTTTGTATATATGGTGTTTAATCTGAACCAACCTTCATTTCAAATCACGCATGATATAAAGGGTTCTTATTACTGATAAGTGATCAGCCTTTTATATTTGGGATCCTAATTTTTATACTTTATTTTTCAATATTTAAACTATATTTTTCCTAATTCAATTAGAATTGCATTTTTTGGTGAACATATATATTATAAATCACCCTCTTAATGTATAAATAGTATATAAATTATACAAACTTGTTCATGTGTTATGATTATAATATGACATGATATTATAATTTTGTAATTTAAAAAATTAATAACTTCAAGTCAAGCCTATGTATTCAGAGTTGTAAATATTACTTGTAAATGTTATTTCAATAAATAAATAGTTTATCACTAAATAATTAAAAATTTAATATTTTCATTTAAAATTTTTTTTTTTTACAAATATATATAAAATAAGTAAGTTTAAATAAGTTTATATATAAAAACTCTTTTCCGTTAGATTTTGTTCAAAAATTTTTACATAAAAATGTAAAAACATTTATATTCAAGGCAGCAACAACTTAGCTTATGAATAAAATACTAAACTTCCCTTTCAAAACTCTTTCTCTTTTTATTTTCCATATTTTTATCCAAAAAATAATCTATTGTTAATCTAAATTAGAGACCTACATAAGTCCAAATTTTAAAACCTAGCCCAACTGACTTAATTATAATTGCATTGCTAAATTTAACAATTAAATAATTTTAATTTTATTTAAAAAATTACAAAAATAAAACATGTATATTTTTTATAATTTTTACGTAAATCTATAATTGCAATTCCATCACAATCAAGACTATTTTTTAATCAATAAACTAATATGATTAAATTATAATACCAGAATAATTAATTCAACAATTTCAAATTATTACTTTTATTACTATTTGAATATAGAGAAATATGAATCAAGATTTTTTCTTTTGATATTCTTTTTTTGATAAATTAAAAAAAGTAAAATTCCTTTGATTAATAGTGAATTTTGTTCAAATAATATTATTGTAACTGGTTATTATATGATGGTGTAAATCTCTGCACTATTTTGCAACATTTGATTGAATTACAAAATGATTTCTTATTACAAGAAGTATTAATTATTCCTAAAAAATCAATACAAGTACTTAAATTTTTAGAATAACCTTATTTTGATCAGAAAAACATTATTATATCATCATTATCATCAGAAAAGTTTAACACTAATTATACTTATTACATTTAATTTCTTAGATTTGATTAAGCTAAATAAAAAAGTTTTAAAAATTATAAATAGGATGATGAGATTCTCCAAAATAGCTATCATAATCTTTTTTTCTGATCATGAGTATGATAACAAACGATTAATGCTTTATACAGTGAAAATCATAATAATTATATTATGATTTCTATTCTAATTTACAAGATATTTCAGATTTAAGAAAATGAGAATACTACCTAATGACAACTACTAAATTATAACTAACTATTTTGTCATGATTAAAATATTGTTTATTAAACTATTTTTTTATTTCTGATTTTTTTGTTAAAGCAAATTATACACAACAAGTATTCAATTTTTTTTTAATGCAGTAACAAATTTTTATTATTTTATTAGAATGAATAAAAATACAAAATGCAATTAAGTGGTAACTAAATTTTAATTAAATAATGATTTTTGTCAAAATTATAAAAAAATTCAGGCTGGTACTTTAGACCTAGACCCAGACTAGAAATTTCTATACTAATTATTTATCAGCTCTGATCTAGTCTAGAATCTGAATCTGGACTGAATTCTCATATTAGACTAAACTTGTCGTAAGCCTCTAGTTTAAATAATGATATTTTTTTGTTAAAATATTTTTTTGTCACTCCTTTCAATTATTTTTCTCATTATTTTTCCTTTTCTTTAATTGCTCATAAAAGTGAACATCAGAAAATTTCTGAATTGACGATTAGAATCAATTTAACTTTAGATATATAAATAAATTTCATGTAATAATTATTCACTTATTTTTTTAAACTAATACATTCTTTTAAAGATTCTGATATTATACAGTATAATCTATTAATTATAGCAGAATTTTCTGAACTTTTATAACTGTATAATTTGAATATTATACTGTGCTTCAATAGAATTTAGTAATATTAACACTTTATACTAGAAGGTCATTGTAATAAAATTAATCAGACAATTTAGCTAAAAACTTGTTAAAATCATATTTTTATTACTTATTTTTATATTAATTTATATTTAATATAGAAGCTAATCATTAAATAAAAAAAGAAGTATAATAATAATTAGTTATTATAAGTTAATAAAAACTCTATTAATTATTATTACTGTAATATAATAGGTATTTCCAAGAATATATTGAAAGACAAAAGTGCAATTGTAAAAACTAAACGATAAGTTGCTAATAGTACATTTCTAATATATTCTGATGCAAAAGCTATTAATTAATAAATTTACCAATCTGTACAAGTTATTAAAATTCTAGAAATTACTAATATTATAAAGAGGCAGCTTTATTTTATTTTTTTCTACTTTTGTACCTAATTTTTTTAGGATTTTATGTAATTTTTTGACTAAATGAAATTTTATAATAAAATTATCACATATTTAAAAAAATTAAATAAGTATATATGTAAAGTTATATAAATTTTATATATAAATAAAATCTTTATATAAAATTATACTTTGTAAAATTATATAATTTTATTTAGTGTAAGTTTTATATTATTAATAAATAGAATGTATTAATTAAAAAAAAATATAAAATTATTAAAAAATATGTAAATTAAATCTTTTCATAATCAATTTTATAAGAATATATAAAATATATATATATATAATTTTTATGATCAAGATAGATTCTTTATTTTTAAATACTTTATTTTTTTTTTTATATAAAATACAAATATTTAAAATTTATTACTTATTATTATAATAAAATAAGATTTTAAACTTATTTATTCTTTCTTGAGTAATCTAATATTATATAAATAAATATAATAAAGTAAATAAATAATATTTCATAAATTATCTAGCATTAAATTTATCTGTGAACTTAAATAAAGTATACATATTAAATTTTAAAATATATTAATTATATAAACAATAAGATTAATATATATTTTATCAGTTTTTAAAAGAAATTTTAAGTTTATTAAGAAGTTTATATAAAATTCAATTTTTAAAATTAAAAATTTTTCTAAAATTCATAAACATATTTGTGAACTAATTAAATTATTTTACTATTAATAAAAGTTATAAGATTTCTTAATAAATTATAAAAATTATAATAATTATAATTATTCTTCATTTTATATTATTTTATTATAATTAATGTTACTAAAAATAATAAAAATTTTTAAAAATTACAAATTTTTAGCTTATAAATAACTTTAAATTAAATTTTTTATTATATAATTAAAAATAAAAATTATTATAATATAATATATATTTATAAAATTTTTATAAAAATAATTAAGAAAAGAATTTAAAATAAATAAGTAAATATATTTATCTATTAATCTTTATAATTTAAAGGATAATAATAAAATATATTACTT